AAATGACTTGAGTAATGGCCATCTTGTGAGTCACTGTTTCTATCAGTGCATCACACAACATCTTCTCAAGCTCACAACCTACAACAGTTGTGTTATAGTGTGTGTGTGTGTGTGTGTGTGTGTGTGTGTGTGTGTGTGTGTGTGTGTGTGTGTGTGTGTTCAGAATCTCTGCATACCTCCTGCCAGTGATCTCGTCGGCCCTTCTGCATCTCCGCCTGTCTTCCCAGCACCCAGGTATTGAGAGGGGCAGGGAGGTAAGGTAGTGGGGGAGAGGGAGGGAGTGGGGAGGGGAGGAGTGGGGAGGAGGAGTGAGAGAGAGGGAGGGGAGAAAATTAACAAATCTTCTCCCTCATTCTCCCTCACTTTCACCAGCAGCCCATCACCTGACCACAAGGTTATTGGCAGAAGTTGCCCGTAAACTAAACTACAAATTATCAACTCCTAACCATCTTCCTCCTACTGCTGCCTACGTCCATATTTCAGGGTAGTGTTAGGATAGGTTAGTTGTGGAGCCGTGTCTTCATCATCCTCGAGAATACACAGTTGTCGCCTTGTTGTTGGTTGACACTGACGAATGATGAGATGTTTTAGGCACTGGTGTGATTATAGACTCGTGTAGTGAAGATGAGTGAACAAGGTGTGAGTTTATTATGGCCACGTGTGTGTGTGTGTCACTGTCCAGTACCTGCCACGCCACACACCTACCTGGCCCACACTAAGAAGACTTAGTTTAGGAAATTACTTCGATAATAAATAAAATAAATATAAAATGATAACAGTACACTAGAGACAGGTGTAGTGGAGTCAGCACCCGTAGGTCACCACACACACACAACACACAATGTAAAAATGACGTTGCATTTCGCTTTCGCATTTAGGGACTTTGTAGCAGGAGGAGCAGGAGGAGGGAGGAGGGAGCAGGAGGGAGGGAGGGAGGAGCAGGAGGACAGGAGTGGGAGGAGGAGGGAGGAGCAGGAGGAGGAGGAGGAGCAGGAGGTGGAGGAGGAGGAGCAGCAGCAGGGGAGGAGGAGGAGGATGAGCAGGAGGAGGAGGAGGAGCAGGAGGAGGGAGCAGGAGGAGGAGGAGGGAGCAGGAGGAGGAGCAGGAGGAGGAGGAGGAGGAGCAGCAGCAGCAGCAGCAGGAGGAGGAGGAGCAGGAAGAGGAGCAGGAGCAGCAGGAGCAGGAGGAGGAGGAGGAGGAGGAGGAGGA